CTAGAAGCTAGCCTATGGTATGATTGTTGTTTTGTATCTTGTCCTACGGACTAAAACCCTCCGGTTTATATAGACACCGGAGAGGGTTAGGGTTACACAAAGTCGGTTACAATGGTAGGAGATCTACATATCCGTATCGCCAAGCTTGCCTTCCACGCCAAGGAAAGTCCCTTCCGGACATGGGACGGAGTCTTCAATCTTGTATCTTCATAGTCCAGGAGTCCGGCTGAAGATATAGTCCGGCCATCCGGACACCCCCTAATCCAGGACTCCCTCAGGGGGTTTGCTTGCCTGGAAGCTCTGCTCAAAAGGAAGAGGTGTCGTCGACATAGTCGATCACAGGGGCGGCATCGGTCTCGGGGTCTACCGGAGAGAAGAGGGGGAAGAAACAATAAATATAAAGCAAACAAAGCATCACAAAGCATAACATGGCAATATGTTGTGCCGGGTGTGACCTAACATATGGCTACGCGATAAAGGTGAAGGGGGAAAACAACCGGGAATGTTTTCCCGGTTCCAGACCTATGTCAGACACATGACTGAAGGGGGAATGTTCCATGTTCAGATAGTTAGAGGCATCTGACAGGTAAACGGACTGCGTATCCGGATTCGTCTCGTCGTTCTGAGCAACTTTCATGTATAAAACTTTTTCATCCGAGTTACGGATTATTTTCTATGATTTTCAAAGATTTAACAATATTCTGTAATTATTATTAACTAAAAAGATAATACTGCATCAGCATGACACCATCCTGACGTCAGCAGGGTCAACATTCAACTCTGACCGCGTTGACTGGTCAAAAGGAGTAGTGGGGCCCATCTGTCATAGACTCAACTAATTGAGCAGGTTTAATTAGACTAATCTAGTTCATTAGGCTAATTAAGCAAGATTAATTAAGTTAATTAATTATCCAACGAATTAATTAATTAACTATTTATTTATTTTTATTTTTCTAAAAACCTTTTTTAATAAAAGCCAGGGCGCGTGGGGCCCGCTGGCAGTGGCATAAGGCCATCCTAGTGGAGCGGGTTAATGGGCGGAGGGGCATGGGCGTGGGCGCCCGTCGAATGGGGCACGGCGAGGCCGTGGCCGGCGATGGTCATCGGGGCGCGGTGGGGCGCCGACCAGGGGAAGCGAGGTCGTGGGGCGAGCGGGCTGCGGCGTCGCAGCAGCGCTGGCGAGGCGGCGCGCGAGGGGGAGGCGGCCAGGGCGGACTCGGCGGGTCAGCGCGATGAGCGGCGGCGCGACACATGCGGGGGCAGCATAGGACGACGGGGTGGACGAGGCCACGGCGAGCGGCGACTGCTACGAGCTAGCGCGCTGCGGCGGGCGGGCGGACGGCGCAGGAGGCAAGGCGCGGGCGTGCAATGGCGGAGCCGGGCAAGACCAGGCGCAGGGCGCGGGCCGTGGTGGCGAACAACGCGGCTAGGGGCGGCGCGAGTGGCGTGAGGACGGCGGGCGAGGCCGCCGCGGCGACAGCGGGTAACCGGACGACGCAGTGGCCAGCGGCGGGAGGCGGGTCACGACGACAATATGCGGCAGCCAAAGTCGAGCGTCGAACAAAACGAGCATAGCGGCTCGGTCCCGACGGGCTATCCGGCTGGAGGACTCCTACGAGATGCCACGAGCGCGGTGGCGTGCTCAGTCGAACTGGAGAAGCACGAGAGGAGCGGCACAACGAGCAGTGGTGGCGCGAGCTTCGGCAATGGCGGCAACGGCACGGGGAGCAGACTACGGATCGACGACGTATAAACGAAGGAAAGGAGAGGGGCGGGAGCTCACGTTGCGGCACACGAAGGCCGTCGGGGGCTTAGTAGCGTAGGGCGGTGGCCAGAGTCGAAGGTGACGACGGCGACCCGAGGAAGACGACGAAGGGGATCCGGCGCTGTAGAGGTCCGCGGCTTTGACTCGTGGTCGGGGACGGCGTAGCGTGCACGGGCAAAGCTTCAAGACAACTCGGCGAGGTGAGGTTGGACAGTGGCATGCGATGGACGGCGGTGGCCGCGCTCGGGCGCTCGAGGGCAGAGGCAAGTCCATAGGGGGAGGAGGAGGTGGATCTGGGAGAGGGCGGAGAGGGGGGAAGTGGAGCGGGGAGGCGAGGGGATTCTGGGAGTGGGTGGAGGTAGGTGGGGGGGGACTCGAGGAGCCGGAGGGGCGCTCTTATCCTCTCGCGGGTGCGTTGCTGGCGAGGTGGCTGGGCGGCGACGGGCGCGTGCTGCCCCGCCCGGTCGGAGGATCAGGAAGCGACCGGGGGAGGGGGAGTGGGCCGGCCTACTGGGATGGGCCGAAGCCTAAGGGGAGGCCATGGGCTTTCTCTCTCTTCTCTGAGTTTCCTTTTTCTTTTTTTGTTTCTCTTTTTCCAGCAGCTTTTGCATTTTATTTTGCCACAAATGACTTTGCAAAAATATGTCACTGGCCAAAATAAATTCAAAGAAGTACTGTGCACTGTCACAAAAATGTTGGGAATGTTTTGAATCCCTTTAGATTTATTCAAAAAGAATATGGCATTTTAAAAGGCTGTTTTGGCTCTGTTAAAAAATATTAGGCCCATTTAGAGTTGATGGTGATGTTGTGTTCCTTAACAGCAAATAGTTTTGGATTTTTTGCTAAAAGGTGAACATTTTTCCAACAAGTTTTGATCAACTTCATTTTGCACTTTGAAGTTGAATGGAATTCCAAAGAAGGAATTTGAAATGAGATATTATCCCAACATGATTATCATTGCAAATCTCAGTAGCTTAGCATCATCATGATGGATTACTGTAGCTCCATTACATAGGGGTGTTACAAAAGGTCCCCATTGAGCTTCGCCTCAACAAAGACGAGGCAGATGCTTTGGAGATGTCCTTCCCTAACGAGGCTTGCACATCACAAGCAAGGGTGTTGATGTACCTAACTGTGAACTCTTGGGCGGGGAGCATGCTTCAGTGCAAACAATTCAGGCGAAGACTTCTTACCTAGCGAGCTACACTTATTAATGTTGAATATACTACGGCTGGAGGGTTGTGCCCCACATACGGCGATTGGTCCATTGGGCCCGATGTACCGTATCACAGAAGCGGTCAAGTTTGGCACTGAAGGATGAGTCAAGATCCACCACATCGATGTGTAGAAGCTCCGTGCCATGTCTATGCATGCTCCCCAAGGTCATAAGGAGTCCAACCCTGCTGTGGGGTTAGATCGACTTCATACGAAGCCAATGAGTGATGTAGTGTACTACATAGTAGACTTAAGTAGACAATTGAGCACGACGTTAGAGCCGAGACAACTCCCTGTGGCATAGCATTGGTCGTGTTCTAAGGCTGGTTGTAGTAAGTATCATATACTAGTATCATGCATATGATACTAGTCTTTGATACTACATCCGTAATGCATAGTATCATATGTTGGTATGATATGTTGGTATCATAGGGTACTACAGTTATTGTCATGCATGACACAAAAAAAGCACACCATTTAATATGATACGGTATCATGATATGATAACCAAACCTCTCTTTCTTCATTTAATTCTATGTCACCTCCAGTTCTTTTCGGCGATTCTCCAGAATCGCCCCCCTCCCCGGCTTCTCCCAGAATCGCCACTTCATATATTTTTTACAATCCTAGCTAATTAGACCTTAACTAGACAAGATTGTCAAAAAAATATGAAGTGACGATTCTGGGAGAAGCTGGGGAGGGGGCCGATTCTGGGAGAATCACTCAAAAGAACTAGCCCCTAAATTGCTTAGTTGGCATGGGTCCCCTGCGAGAAGCATTTCTGGAACACGGGTGTCCTGAACACTTTATTTTGAATAATTTGAAAATCACATTTGAATTAAAAAAATATCCAAAACAAACCCTACGCTAATATGAATGTATACCACACAAGTGTAAAGTTTGATGATGAAACAAGTTGACATGTGAGCTACATAAAGATGACAAATTGTTAATTTTGAGAAGTTAAACCATGCACACATTGTTCACCGCTAAAAAAAATCCACGCTCTTGTCTTCTTTGTGTAGCACATATTAATTTACTTCGTCATCAAACTTTGCCCGTGTACAGTATATCTCCATACTACTGCATAAAATTCGTGTTCGTATTTTAAAGACTTTCAAACATGATTTTCAAACTATTTGAAATGAAGTGCTCATGCGACCCTTGCTCTGGAGCAACGTTTTGGCCTCCCATGTTCCAAACCGTCCTCACCGATACACTTCTCTATTCTTATAAAAAACTGAGTTGGTGATGATGGTGTGCCCGCCATCTTATAATATAGACCGTTCGATCTATATCTGACAGATAGAAAGCAAACTATGACAATTTTGCAAAAGGATATCCGCACCTCTCGTTCATCCTTATCTCCCACAACTTCATTGTTGAGTAATTAAAAAAGAAGCCTCCGGAACAATCTGGCATGGTGGCCGCTGCCGGCGTCGTCCATCTCCATGCCTCTGCTAAGTCCGACCACCAATCACCACCGCGCCCCACTCCTCACCTTATCTCTCATCTTTCTCGAGATATCATTTTTTCGATGAAATTCTCGAGATATCATTAGTTTTTACACATGTGATTACTCCTGCATGAGTCAATCACAATAGATGTTTTGTAAAAAAATGTATTTTGATGTCCTGTGCAATGCACGGGCATCTTGCTAGTCATAAAAAAAAAAGCAGACACTTTCCAATCCACCGCGCTCCTCTGGTCTCCGCGGTCTCCAATTTCAAATCCATCCCCGTATCCGCCGCCACGTCATCGATCCGCGCCACCAGCCTCGCACCCGCACCTCCATCCCACCCTTCATTTCAATCCAACGTCCCACCCCCGCCGTCCCACGGATCGATCCCAGCGAGCGCCTACCGCGGTCCCGCCCCAAAGCCACGAAAATCCCGCGCTTTCCCCCCAAATCCTCCCGATATAAACCCGCCACCACCCCCCAATCCCAGCACAAGCTTCTTCCCAAGCACTTCCTCTTCTTTCTAAGCGCACACATCCCTCGGAGCTAGGTGGATCGGCGATGTCGGGGCGCGGCAAGGGCGGCAAGGGGCTGGGGAAGGGCGGCGCCAAGCGCCACCGGAAGGTGCTCCGCGACAACATCCAGGGCATCACCAAGCCGGCGATCCGGAGGCTGGCCAGGAGGGGCGGCGTGAAGCGCATCTCGGGGCTCATCTACGAGGAGACCCGCGGCGTGCTCAAGATCTTCCTCGAGAACGTCATCCGCGACGCCGTCACCTACACTGAGCACGCTCGCCGCAAGACCGTCACCGCCATGGACGTCGTCTACGCGCTCAAGCGCCAGGGCCGCACCCTCTACGGCTTCGGCGGCTAGATTCGTGTCGTGTGTCCGTGTGTTCTGTGGAAGACGGGTTTTACTACTGCTTTGGCGTGCGTCGTTGTGTTCCGTCTTGTGTTCATTAGGCTGTAATTCCTTGTTGCGGTCAATGAAACTAGTTCTGTTCTGAATCCTGACCTGAAGTGCAATTGGTTTGACTTAGATGAAATGCAATTGGATGAACGATTTATCACTCGTTGCAATCTGTACAGATGCAGAAGTATTGTTGGAGTGGTAAAATGTGAATCAAGACGCCAGATGCATATTCCTGAAATACTGACCAAGTGCTTCGCTGTGTTGAATTCGGTTTTGGTTTTCTAAGGTTGGTTGGTTTGATATTAGATTTCTCATTTTAGATCGTGTATAGCTGAAGTGCAGTTGATTTGTCTTAGCTGAACTGCAGTTGATTGAACGATTTACCACTCGTTGCAACCTGTAGAAGGGGCGCATCCTTTTGATTTGGTTTGGTTTCACTGGGGAACGAATCTTGTTTTTTTTTTCTGTGCAGATCTACAGATGCACAGGTGTGGTTGTTGGAGTGGTACGAACCCTCCATTAAAATGTGAAATCAAGATGCAAGATACCTATTCCTTAAATCTTCACCAAGTGCTTCGATGTGTTGGATCCGGTTTTGATTTTTGTAAGTCTGGTTAATTTGTTTTATTATTATATTTCTTGCTTTAGATCGTATAGCTCTACTGCTGGACTGTACATTTGAGTTATAATTGAAATGCAACTGAACCAATGTTTACATTGGACAGATAGCTGAACTGCAATGGATCCAGTATTGAACGTTCGAGTTGTTGCTGAAATGCAATTGAATGAATAATTATCACTCATTGCAATCTGTAGAAGAGACGGACCCTTCTGTTTGGTTTTGGTTTTGCTGGGGAGTGAATCTTGATTTTTTTTTTCTGCAGATCTACATACCCCAAAGTGGTCGGACCCTTCCCTGGACCCTGCACAAGCGGGAGCTACATGCACCAGGTTGCCCTTTTATCTACATACTCCAAATGTATATAAAATTTCTGAATGATACATCAAGCCTCTGGAGTATATAAAATTTTGAATGTTTCAATGTTGGTGGGGTGTAAATAATCTAGTCAATACAAATATGAAATCAAAACGCCAAATATGGCCTTCTATTCCTGAATGAAACAACAACGAGCATGTGGAGCAACTATCAGAATGTTTCTGAATGATACATTAAGCACTGGGGCAATCAAAACATTTCTGAATGATACATCAAGCCTCTGGAGCAACCATCAGATTTGAAATAGTACATCCGACAACTACAACTGCATGCTGTATGTAGAACAACTATCTGAGGCTCTGCACTAAACTGATATTTTTCCTAATAATCAGCTCGTTCCTCAGAGGAATGTACAGTAGAGATTATATTCCTTTCCTAATAATAATCTTGTTCCTCAGAAGGATATACAGTACTACAACCAACTCGTAGGATGATTTTTCTTCTTTGAGAAATTGTAAGTCCCTATCAATAATTCTCTAGAGCAGGAATTGCTTGCCGGTGTATGTTTTGCCAAACTCCCAATCCTTGGGCACAACGTTAAAATTGGTCATCGTCGTGCCGTCACTCGAGGTGAGCTCAAAGGACACCGGCTGCCCTGTGAGATCTAAGTTGATGTGCCATATCTGGCCCCAGTTGCGGCCCATATCGAGCCAGCCAGACTCTGTTCCTTTGATCTTCACTGATCTGACATCGCCAGCGCCACCGACATTGCTGATTAGGACTGTGAAGAAGAAGCTCTTCCCGGAGACCGAGAACCGCACGCCGCCTTCACGAAGGCACTTGACGCTGTTCATAAGAAAACAAGTCAATCTCAGCAAAGAATCAGAGGCATTTTTTCTGACAGGTTAATGCTATTAGTAGCTTTATTTGTCCTTGTTGTTTGTTCTCATGCAAATCCTGCAAACTACTCCCTCCGCCCCATAATGTAAGACGTTTTTTCACACTAGTGTAGTGTCAAAAAACGCCTTACATTGTGGGACGGGGGGAGTACTTAACAAGTAATGAAATGGTGTGACATAGATGAGTCCCAAATCATAGTAGGATGTATATTTCCATGTCAATTGTCCTACGAAACATGAAATCTCCAGGATCACGAAAACACATTGATAGCAGAATGTTGTACAAATCCGTCATTCAGGAAACCATCTCAAAGAATCACCTCAATTTTTCAAATTACTAGACAACTTAGACGCACGTAAAGATTATTACACCCTTCTATAATATACTTTTCAGTTTAGCATACATGCACGTTTTTAACTTTGTATTCTGAATGGCACAGGAGTAGAACCTCACTAATTTACAGATGCGATCGTAGTCTGTTTGAATCTCAAACAGTAACAAATTAAATGAAGTGTAAGCACAAGCTAAGATGATTAGTTTCAGTTCAAGAAAGTCCTAGTAGTAAAAATAATTAATGAAGTTTTCTCTGGAAAAATAATCAAATGAAGTTGTTTCAAAGGGAACTCAAAGAGCTACCAACCAGTGCATAAATATCTAACACAAACATAGAATATTAAGGACAACCACAAATAATGTGCCACTACAACTTGCAGGGCCAGTTTGATTGTCACCAGGTAGTACCTGAGAAGCAGATAACTTGTGTAGCTTTATTAGTGATGATGTGCATTTTTGCTGTTTCGTGAAACAGTGGTTTGTTCTCTACCATACATTTATTCTTTCTCTTTGGAATAGTGCTAATTGCTATTCGCTAACAGTAAAGGAGCTATATAACAGCTGATGAAGCTAAAGTCTGACATAGTTTAGTTGCAGAGCACAGCAGGGTTGATATTGCTGCCAATTGCCTCAGGCGATGATTTGGAACATCAAATCTTGAGGATAAAAAATGCACATTAACAACACATTTCATTAAACCTGTCATTCATCAAAGCATCTAGAAGAAGTACCTGTCTCTGCTACACCTTTTAAGTGTGGCATATATGCAGGTTCCTAACTTTATGTTCTGAACAGCACCAGCATAGTGCTTGCTAATTTACCAAATTTGAGTGTGAAGTGTTACCATTCGCCATATCCTAATATGTTTGGATCTTAAATACCAATAACAAACCAAAAAAAGGGTAAAGCTAAGATGATTAAACAATCAGGCAAGTCACTATCCAAAGTTCCTTTTTAACACAGTTTTAGTAGTACAAATAATCAACTAGATTTCCCTCAAGAAAATAAATCAAGTTGTTTAAAGGATCCCAAGGAGCTACCAACTGGCATAAATATCAAACATAACCACAGAATATTAAGGACAACACCAGTTAATGCGCCACTACTATTTGTAGGGCCAGTTTGGTGATACCGGGTACTGGAGGGCACATCATGTAAACCCAGAAGCAAATAACCTGGTGATGCTAGTTCGGTGCACATCAACAACTCTAGAAGTTCCAAAAAAAATCTTGCAACCTCTCCATTAATATGGTTCAACCAGTCCTTACAGCAGTCAATAGAATATTTAAGCACTAACTGTCAATAAGATCCACATTTCCCAGAATTCCTCAGTTATCAACAAAATACAGGATAATCACTCAGATAAGAGGTGCTTAGTTTCTTTATGTTTTTAATTAATTTTCATATGAGTTATCATAGCTCAGCATACCGATTCTGCACTCTAGTAACCATAGACTGTCGTGAATTGTGGAATAAAATTTAGATGATGTGAAAATATATGCAATGATGAATCCAATGATATATATTTGGTGGTGTATATGTTAATATATTTTTCTACAAACTTGTTTAAAGTATATAAAGTTTGACTTCAGACAAACGTAATATGCGGAGTAAATAAAAACGGAGGGAGGACAACTAGTTATCACCAGCTGCATTATCATCATCAAGATGATAGCGCTGTTTTAATTCTAAGAGAGCCCCAAAGAACAAAATAAACTCAAGGAGCCACGAAAGTCTAATGCTTACACCAATGAATATGATGCAAATACTGAACCAAACTGTAGTACAGTACTATAATTGATCAAATCACGCAAACCGAGCATGTGATACTCTAGATAGTCAATGGCTCGATGCTGCATCAAAAGGCTCATAGGTGCTTTCCTCCTAACCCAAACACCAAATCACATTAGTACATTTATTTACACTTGGTTCTATGCATCTTTGTACTACCTTGTTAGTAAAGGAAGGCCACATTAGAGCAGATAAAACTACCCTAATTCGAATCCTAACCAAAAGAACTTGCACTTCACCACAGTGGAAGAGGGTCCACTTGATCCCCTCCACACTTTCCTCACCAACGGACACTTGCAATTCAGCTTTTTTGGGATCCCACATTGCGGCAAACCAAAGCAATCTCTAGCTTGGCAAGCACTTTCCCAGCTCTACACAAATTGAATCAGGAAACCGAGGAAACTTTGGCCTTAGATCTAGCCGAACATGGAGTGCAAAGCAGAGCGAGATCGAGTGCAGGCAAGAATGGAGCATACGTACCGGCGGTACTGGATGGGCATGACGCCGGCCTTCCAGAGCGCAATCTTCTCGAATGCCTGGATGGGGAGGAGGAAATGGTGGTTGGGCGGGTTGCAGACGCCGCCGGCGTCGGCGGGGAATCCGTAGTTGGGCGGGCAGAAGTTGGTGGCGGTGACGACGATGGAGGTGCCGGGGAGGCAGTACTTGAGGTCCTCCACGCACTTGACCTCGTAGCAGCCCCCGCAGGCGGCGCCGCGCTCGAACAGCGCCGTGCTCAGCCCCACCGTTGCCATCCCGTACCCGTGCTTCCCCAGATCCCCGAACCCGCACGCGCCACCTGCACGCCGCACCCCACAAAAAGAAAATCACAGATCAGCTCCGTGCCCATGTCCATGGCCGCCAGGATCGCAAGAACCGACTGTGGTACGAGCAGAGAAGCTCCGGTAACCGAGCGTGCGGTTTGTGGAAATTCCGTTGGCGGCAACATACCGAAAGAGGAAAAGTGAACTAATTAATGCCTGCAGCATGGACGCGAGGAATTTTGGTAGGAGCGCAAGGACGGTTTGGTGGATTCGTTTCTTGGACTGCTGCCATGACGGAGAGCTAGGCGAGGTTTGTTGGTGCTTACCGATGGCGTCCCCGGGGTCGGCGGCGAAGTAGGAGGACTTGGCGTTGCGCCATTCGGATAGGGCGGAGGAGCCGTAGGAGGAGGGGTGCTGGTGGCCGGCGGCGAGGGCCGGGAGGAGGAAGACGACGAGGAGGATGAGCGGGGGAGCCATGGCTCCCAGCAAGCAGCTTTTCGTCCGTGCGCTTGCTTCTCAGTGAAGTGAAGCAGGGGAGAGTGTGAAATGGAGGTGCTGTGCTTCGGTGTTCTGTCTTTTTATTTTGCAGGTTCTGGGGCCTTCTTTGCCTTTATACATGTGCACACGGGTATATTTTTAGTGCAGGTTCTCTTCTCGAGTGCTCCAGCTTTTGATCGATTAATTCTTTTCTTTTCGGGAAAGAGTGCATTTGCTCGTCTGTTTTGTTTCCTTTCCTGGTGCACCGCAGCTTATTGCTTCGGTGAAACGGCAAAATTAGAGCACTTACAATCGGACTTTGCAAATTCGGCTCCTCAAACGTTCGCAGATAGTGACCGGTCACGTCTTAAACTAATCATTCTATATCACCTTTTTCACATTTCAATCCTTAGATTCATACAAAGCATGCAAAAAAAAAAATCATACGCACGTACCCTAACTAATCTTCGTTGTCGGAGACGTCCACAACAATGTGTCGGGCGCCGGTTGCACGGGCGGGTAGGAGGGTGCCGGCTGCTCGACCTCATCCATATAGGCGAGCATCTCCGTCTCCTCCGCGACCTACTGCGCCTCGATCTCCTGCCGGCGACGGCGTCTGGCCTCCGCAGCCGATTCCGACGGGAGGGAATCGAGGATGGTCTGCTGCTCCGCCTGCAAATCCACTGCATCCGGAGGTAGCCCCTCGGCGATCCGGACTTCACGCTTAGCCCGGATCTGCTGAAGGAGCTCGAGCCGGCACTCCGGCGCCATAAATGGCCCGCTCTTCACCCGACGGCGTGGAGGCATGGCTACTAAGCGGACGGGTGAAGTAAAAAGTGGCGATGTGAACGGACATGTGGAAGAAAATGTGGATGGACGGTAGGGTTTCGGCGCCGCCGGTCGACTTAAATAGCTGGGCTAGGCACTAAGTGACCCGCCGGAGCTGCGTCACGCGGCCAGTGCTCAAAAGGAGACGAGCTTCGGATCGTCGGGTTTCCAGGTGTTTTCGGCTGGGACCCCGCCGCCAGTTCGACGTGGCAGGTGTGCCCGGACGCGTTCGGACGCCCCATATCCGTCACATATTTAGACTGGATATGAGGGTGTCGGTCAGCCCGGGCGTTTGAAGTCTGTTTGAGATGTCTATCTGAATCGAAAAAACATGACCGATGAGTGACTGGACGGACTGCCGGGCATTTGAGGCCGGTTTGGGACCCACGGCTTAGATGCTCTTAACAAATTCTATCATGAGTGAGAGGTTCATGATAAACCCGGATCGACGGTCAGTACTGCCGACGCTGCTCGAAACAGTTGTGTTAAGGTACTCGTAGATACTCTCTCGATTACTAGTAGCAATCACTTGCGGATACAAGTTTGGTGGCGATTACAGGAACGATACAAGAATTTGGTTGCTAGGGTTCGACGCGAGACAGGAAGAGGAAAGGGGAAAAGAGCCGAGCCGCCGTTGTCGTGATCCTCTGGATAACCCTAGGACGCTGCCGCTCCTCTCCTCAAGTAGCTTCCAGGACGGGCTTCAGTTAACCCACGCTGGGCCGGAGACGCGTGGGTTGGGCTTCCTGGGCCGGGCCGCACGTGGAGCCGTGGAGACCTGATCGTTGGTGTTGCCTTGCGGGCCGGCCCTATCAGGGACGCTGACATCCCCCTCTTCTTGAGCAGAGGCTTGCCCCAAGCCTCCGCGAGCGAGAAACGCTCCCTGAGACTCGCCTTGTCTTCCCAAGTTTCGCCGAGCGTCTCTGAATTGGACCAACGGACGAGCACTTGTTCCCTCATCTTGCCCTTCTCCTGGAGCCATCTTGATTGCAGAACTGCCACAGGAACCGCGAGCTCATCATAACAATGAGGTAACTGAGGTTCAACAGCCATACCCGTGCTCAGGACGCGTCGAAGGAGCGAGACGTGGAAGACTGGATGGATAGTTGCTTGCGAAGGAAGCTGGAGCTTGTAGGCGACATCGTTGATCTTGCCGATGATAGGAAATGGACCGTAGTACTTGAATGCCAGCTTGTGATTTGCTCGTGGCGCGACGGAGGTTTGGATATATGGTTGCAGTTTCAGGTACACTTGATCGCCCACTTCAAACTGACGGAACGATCGCTTCTTATCCGCCTGGCTTTTCATCAGCTGTTTTGCTCTGTTCAGGTGTTGCTGTAACAGTTCCTGCACCGTATCCCTTTCCTCGAGCCACGAGCTGAGTGCTGGCACTGAACAGGTGTTGTTTGCTGTTATCCCCCAGTGCCGTGGCTCGTAACCGAACATAGCTTTGAAGGGCGTCATGCCTATGGCCGAATGGTGTGAGTTGTTGTACCAGAACTGAGCTAACGGGATCCAAAAACTCCACCGCCTGGGATAAGCTTGAGTGAAACACCTCAAGAATGTTTCCACACACTGGTTAACTCGCTCTGTTTAGCCATCCGTTTGCGGGTGGTTGGCTGTGCTGAGTCTAAGTTGTGTGCCTGCGGCCTTGAAAAGCTCCTGCCAAAAGTGGCTAGTGAACACAGGATCGCGATCTGATACTATTGCTCCCGGGAGACCATGCACTCTGTAGACTTGTTGGATGAAAAGTTGGGCCACCGATGCTGCTGTGTATGGGTGCGCTAGTGGCAAGAAGTAGCTGAACTTGGTTCGCTTGTCTACAATCACCAGGAGACAGTTGAACCGGCTGGATTGTGGGAGGCCGTCCACAAAATCCATGGATATCATATCCCAAGGTTTGTTAGGGATTGGTAACGGCAGCAAGAGACCTGGTGAAGCTGCCCGATCTAGTTTCGCTTGCTGGCATATGACACAACACTGCACATAGTGTTTGATTTGAACTTTCATTTTGGGCCATGCAAAGAGACGCCTGATGCGTCTGTAAGTGACTGGGAATCCCGAGTGACCCCCTACTAGGCTGTCATGAAACGCTTGGATTATACGTTGTTGTATGTGTGTTCCTCCTCCCAGCCAAATTCTGCCTTTGAACCTGATGATGCCTTGCTGCAGTAAGAACCTGCCTTTGGGATCGTCACGCACAACCAGCTGTTCCAATAGTTTATGCGCCTGCGGGTTGTTGTTATAACTGTTGATAGCATCTTCTAACCAACTAGGTTGACATGACGTGACCACTGATAGCACCTCCGCTGGACTGGCGCGTGACAAGGCGTCCGCGCCGTTGTTTTCAGATCCCTTCTTGTACTTGATGCGATACTGGAGTCCCAACAGCTTGGTAAAAGCTTTCTGTTGCCATGGTGTGTTCAGCCGCTGTTCCTCCAGGTGAGTGAGGCTCTTCTGATCTGTATATATGACAAATTCTGCGTTTTGCAAATAAGGGCGCCATTGATCTACGGCCACGATGATTGCCAGATATTCTTTTTCGTATGTGGACAGACCCTGATATCTCAGACTCAACGCTTTGCTCATGAATGCAATGGGGTGTCCTTGTTGCTGCAGAATTGCTCCAATGCCTGTGTCGCATGCATCTGTCTCCACTGTGAAAGGCTGCTCGAAGTTCGACAATGCTAGCACTGGTGCGGAGATTAGGTGCTTCTTCAGGACTTGGAAAGCTGTTTCCGTGATCGATGTCCACTGAAATGGCACGCCTTTCTTCAACAAATTGAACAGCGGTCGTGCTATCACTCTGAAATTGCGCACAAAACGGCGATAGTACCCTGCGAGACCCAGAAAGCTTCGGACTCCCTTGATATCTTGCGGTGAGGTCCAGTTGGTAACTGTTGCTATCTTGGCCGGGTCCGTGGCTACCTTGCGAGCACTGATGACATGGCCTAGGTAGGATACCTGGCTTTGCCCAAACGCACACTTGCTGCGCTTAACTTTCCACTGATCCTTGCGTAGCAGTTCCAACACCTGCAGCACCTGGCACTTGTGCTCCTCTAACGTAGCACTGAAGATTAAGATGTCATCGAAGAAGCATAGCACGCAGACACGTAGCACTGGCTTGAGGGTTGTAGTCAGCCCTTCTATGAACATGGGTGGAGCCCCAACCAACCTTGAACTCGAAGTGCCCCTGATGCGTGGAGAATGCCATCTTGTACTCCTCCCCCGACGTGAGCCTGATCTGATGATAGCCTGCGTGCAAGTCGAGCTTTGAAAACCACGCTGCACCATGTAGCTCACCCAGGAGCTCTTCTATAACAGGAATTGGAAACTTGCCGACGACTGTAATGGCATTCAGTTGTCTGTAATCTATACAGAGACGCCAGGTTCCATATTTCTTCTTAACAAGTATGACTAGAGATGAAAAAGGACTATTTCTTCGCTGAATGACTCCTGATTTCAGAAGTGCTTCGACTTGAGCTTCTATCTTCGTCTTCTGTTCTGGTTTGTAACGATATTGCCTGACATTTACTGGCTGAGCTCCAGGTATTAGCGGAATGCGGTGATCGCACGCCCTTCGAGGTGGAAGCCCTACTGGTTCCGCAAACACATCCGAAAATTGGTCCAAGATTTCCTGAATGCACGCTGGAGTTTGCTCCAATTCCTCCTGCTGGGCAGCCACCACACAAAGGTGTATAATGTGTGTGATCGATCTGTTGCTGCACAGGTTCTGCAACTGCAAGCTATTGATGGACTGACAACTGGTGGAAGTCGCGTCGTGCCCCATGAGACGAAGCGGCCCTGCTGGAGTGGGAATCTCAATGAAACGAGCATGCCAGTCTACCTACATCGGGCTATGTTCCTCTAACCAATCCATGCCGAGTATAACATCGTACGTGCCCAGAGCCAAAACTTTCAGATCCGTGTAGAATTCGTGCCCTTGAGCATACCATGCGCATTGCGGCGCGACCTCAGTGCAGAACAGTTCTCCCCCATCTGCCACACGCACACGACTTGGATTAGGCAGAGGTCGAACCCCTGAAAGTCAACTTGCTAAGTGCTCGTTGATGAAGGAATTGGAGCTGCCCGAGTCGATCAGCATGAGTACTTCATGCCCTTGAAGCCACGCTCGCAGCTGAAAAGCTTTGGCCGAGACCCCTCCCGTAACTGCCGAAACTGAGATGGCCATGGCTGTATTCTAAACCTCATCCTCGGAGCTCATTTGAGTGTCGACGAAACTGTCAAGGCCGAAGATATCCAGAAGCTCCTCAACTACATGCAGCTGCACTGTGGTGGGGCATACATGATCGTGCCCCCATCGTTCACCGCACTTAAAGCACAGCGTGCCCCCATCGTTCACCGCACTTAAAGCACAGCCCCCGAGCTCGTCGGTAATCACGGAGGGTCTTGAGCTTGGACGCGTCAGCGCGGGCCGCGTCTGTACCACGACGATCTGCTGCCTGCGTCGCTGGTACCGATCGCACCGGAGGTGGGTGAAGTGGCATGGGAGTGCCTCCCCGCTTGAAAGATCGTGGATGTCGCCTAGAGGGGGGGAGGGGGGAATAGGCGTTTTAAAATAATTACGGTTTAGGCTTGAACAAATGCGGAATAAACCTAGCGGTTAATTTGCCAAGCACAAAACCTAAAACAACTAGGCTCACCTATGTGCACCAACAACTTATGCTAAGCAAGATAAGCAACTATGTGATAGCAAGATATATGACAAGAAACAATATGGCTATCACAAAGTAAAGTGCATAAGTAAAGGGGCTCGGGTAAGAGATAACCGAGGCACGCGGAGACGACGATGTACCCCGAAGTTCACACCCTTGCGGATGCTAATCTCCGTTTCAAGCGGTGTGGAGGCACAATGCTCCCCAAGAAGCCACTAGAGCCACCGTAATCTTCTCACGCTCTCGCACAATGCAAGATGCCGTGATTCCACTAAGGGACCCTTGAGGGCGGTCACCGAACCCGTACAAATGGCAACCCTTGAGGGCGGTCACCGAACCCGTACACTTTGGCAACCCTTGGGGGCGGTCACCGGAACCCGTCAAATTGCTCGGGGCAATCTCCACAACCTAATTTGAGACCCCGACGCTTGCCCGGATCTTTAGACCACAATGATTGAGCTCCGAACACCACCAACCGTCTAGGGCACCCAAGCACCCAAGAGGAACAAGCTCAAGGGTACCAAGCACCCAAGAGTAATAAGCTTCTCAACTTGTAACTTCCACGTATCACCATGGAGAACTCAAACCGATGCACCAAATGCAATGGCAAGGGCACACGGAGTGCCCAAGTCCTTCTCTCTCAAATCCCACCGAAGCAACTAATGCTAGGGAGGAAAATGAGAGGAAGAACAAGAAAGAGAACACAAAGAACTCCAAGATCTAGATCCAAGGGGTTCCCCTCACATAGAGGAGAAAGTGATTGGTGGAAATGTGGATCTAGATCTCCTCTCTCTTTTCCCTCAAAAACTAGCAAGAATCCATGGAGGGATTGAGAGTTAGCAAGCTCAAAGAAGGTCAACAATGGGGGAAGAACACGAGCTCCAAGGATAAGGTTCATTGGGGAAGAAGACCCCCTTTATAGGAGGGGGAAAATCCAACCGTTATGTGCTCAGGCCGCACACGAGCGGTACTACCGCTCCACGAGCGGTACTACCGCTCAGGTGGAAGAAACAGGGAAAAGGAGCAACAAAACATGAACCTTAGGGCGGTAGTACCGCAGGAGACAGCGGTACTACCGCTGGGTTAAGCGGTACTACCGCTCCCTTCAACGGTACTGCCGCGCAGAACGAAGGGTAAAGGGAAAGAGGGAACCGGGCGGTACTACCGCGGAGGAAGGGCGGTACTGCCGCTAAGGAGCGGTACTGCCGCACTACTGCCAGCGAGGTACCGCACAATCCGACATAGAAAAAGACCCCTCGAAACGACGTGGTAGGGACCTGGTAAGCCAACGGTAGTACTGCTGCGGAGTCACCGCTGGTACTACCGCTTCGGAGCGGTACTGCAGCTTGTGACCCCTCAACAATGGGGGAAGAACACGAGCTCCAAGGATAAGGTTCATTGGGGAAGAAGACCCCCTCTATAGGAGGGGGAAAATCCAACCGTTATGTGCTCAGCCCGCACACGAGCGGTACTACCACTTAGGTGGAAGAAACAGGGAAAAGGAGCAACAAAACATGAACCTTAGGGCGGTAGTACCGCAGGAGACAGCGGTACTACCGCTGGGTTAAGCGGTACTACCGCTCCCTTCGGCGGTACTGCCGCGCAGAACGAAGGGTAAAGGGAAAGAGGGAACCGGGCGGTACTACCGCGGAGGAAGGGCGGTACTGCCGCTAAGGAGCGGTACTGCCGCACTACTGCCGCAGCGAGGTACCGCACAATCCAACACAGAAAAAGACCCCTCGAAACGACGCGGTAGGGACCTGGTAAGCCAACGGTAGTACTGCTGCGGAGTCACCGCCGGTACTATCGCTTCGGAGCGGTACTGCCGCTTGTGACCCCTTAGCGGTACTACCGCTGGATACCACGGTACTACCGCTGGGACCCTGACAAAACCACACTCAAGAAAAGAAGAACTGCCATAACTTCTGCATATGAGCTCCGAATTGAGCAAACTCAAGCTTGTTGGAAACAAGACGACGAGTAGCATCAAAACAGCGGCTGGTTATAGTAAGAAGAGGCAGGGGAGGTATGCATAACAAAAAGAGGAGTGAAACCTCCAACCGAGAAGAATCGGCAAAACCTCCAACATCGAAAACATCATAGAAGAGGCATGCGAACTCCGTTTTCGATGAACTCAAGCTTGTCATCAAGATGACCATAAGCTCTAAGATTCACAAAGAGAACCAAACAAGAACCAAGAAATATGATGCAAGGATGCAATGGTTTGAGCTCTCTACGAACGATACGATCAAGCTACTCATCGAGAGCCCCCCTTGATAGTACGACAATCGATCCTATAACCCGGTCTCCCAACTACCATCATGAGACCGGTAAAATAGAAAACCTACCAAGGGCAAACCTTTGCCTTGAACATGGTCCATTTGAGCTAGATGATGACGATCTTGACTCCCTCAAGTTGGACCACCTTTCTTGATTGGGTTGACTCGATGAAGACTAGTTGATTGCTCCCCCATACTCCACTATGGGTGAGCCACTCTTCCGCACATCTTCACAAGTCCATTGTCACCACAAAGGATGGCAAGCTTCAAGCATTTGATCTCTTCGTGATGCTCCACTTGAAATTGCACACCGCAACCTTTCTTGATTGTGTTGACTCAATGAAGACTAGTTGATTGCTCCCCCATACTCCACTATGGGTGAGCCACTCTTCCACACATCTTCACAAGTCCATTGTCACCACAAAGGATGGCAAGCTTCAAGCATTTGATCTCTTCGTGATGCTTCACTTGAACTTGCACACCGCAACCTAACCCCACAAAGAACCCTCACGAAGACCATGGGTCAGTACACAAAGCGTAATTGGCAATGCTTACCATACCATGGGATCACTTGATCCCTCTCAATACATCTTCTACGCTTTGTGGGTTGATCAGCTTGATTCACTCTTTGACT